GAATCGGGATTTGCTCGAGATATGATGGCAGACGTGAATATCCATCTTCTGCTGATCCTCTCACCAATGTTTGTGCATATAAAAGTGCTATGTATGAAGTGGTGTAATCAAGTGCATATAAACATGTTCTTCATTGCATCAGTGATATGCTGCGGAGTCAACCCATCAATGATTCCAACACGATCAATGAAAAGCCTACCAACATACTTCGGAGTACAGTGTCTCCGCTGAGCGATTCGGTCTCCCACAGAGCATGTATGTGTTTCCCATACTTTGTTACCCAAAACGTGTTTGTCCCATGTTTCTCACTCGCTCTGATCTTCCATCCACAACCACTAACCCGACATGTTAAGGAGTGTTTTTGTTGACTTTTATATTCTGTAGGAGAACTTACACCTCACTGTTGTCAACCGCAGCTCTGAAAGCAGTGCATCCTTGCTAACAAAACTCTGGTTGACATAGATACTGTTACCATTCGATCTTCCTCCTTTAATAGCATTTGTCTTTTTGAAATCTTCAAACACACATATCATCATCTTCTTCCTCATCCTCATCTTTAACCTTTCCATAAACAATGTAATCCTCACCATTCTTGTCCGCTTCGGCAACAATAGAGATATCATCATCCTCCTCCCCATCATCCTTCTCCCCATCATCCTCCTCCCCATCATGATTTTCATCTTTAACCAAATCATCATCATCATTTTCAAAACATTCATCAGCTTTATCAGCTTCTTTCCTCTCCTCTGAAACCGTTTCCACCTTGCTACGGCTTGATACACAAAGCCGTACTCCATGCGTTTTGGTTATCTCGAGCAATTTTCAAACTTGTCTATCACTTGTAACATGAATAGGAGGGATGTCTGGATCTATCCGTTGAATCATTTCTGCTGGTAGTGAATAGGTTATCTCCACATATTATGTGCTCATGTCCAGGTTAAAATCTTCTTGAGCCATTGAAACAAGTTCAGCATGTGTCGAACCTTCACTCAAAAGAAACATTCTCGCTCGTTTGAAATTATCAACCACAAAATTGCAACAGCCATCTTTGAACAACCATTCTCCATACATTGCATGTAACTGACGAATCATCTGCAAAAATTCCAAAAAAAAAATACATTAGTAAACATAGAGAAAATGAAAGTTTACTAAACATTGACGCAGACGACATACAAGTAAGTCGTCCGGACGACTTAACCGTAAGTCTTCCAGACAGGTCATTTTTGCAATTGAAATTTAAATGAGATGACTTACTTCTAAGTCGTCCAGCTTTGTATGTTAAAAAAAATTTAGACGACTTATAAGTAAGTCGTATAGGAAAAACGGGCTAGTAAGATTACTTTTTCTGGTGCTAATTATATTATCATCTAATGTGTCTTACAAATTTGAGTTTTAGTAGTGTTTCTGTAACATACAAACTCAACAATTGTAGTCAATACGGTCTGTGAATCAAATTACCATGTGCAGCCGATATTAAATAAAATTTTGTAAGATATGATTAACCAACTAGATACAAAAATGTGGCATGGACACATAGTCAAATCCTAAGAACTGAACTGAAAACGCAACGTAAGATGAATCTCCCTAATGATTCTTTATTTCGCAGTATATGAATGTTTGGCAAGGTTTACTAATGATGATAGGATATTTTCTTTTACTTAAAAAGTTTGGTTTATGGCAATATTGACATTCTTGTGGTCGAAGTAAATTACTCACCAAGGCGAGGATCTTTACATTTAATTATCTTGTGGTCCAAGTCCATTAGGTTTATTATCCCCTATATAATAAACGTTGTTCTCATCATTAGGACTCATAACCTAAACGAAAACCCAGTTATTGTTCACTCATCTTTCTCTAATGGCTGCGTTTACTGTTGTGTCAGATTTGAAACCGTTCAAGTCTATGTGGAAGATTAGGGTAAAGATCATTCGTTTGTGGAAGTAGTATTCTGCAGCCGGTGGAGAAACAATTGAGATGGTTCTAATCGATGAGAACGTAAGCATCCTTTACTATTCACATTAGTAATATTTAGTATGTTTAATGAACCTATATAATTGTTGACTATATTTGTTGCTTTTTGTAGGGTGTTAAAATTAATGTTATTGTGAAAAAAGATCTGATTAATCAGTTCGATTCATTCCTTTCACAAGGAAGTTCAAAGATTCTCATCAACTTTTCACTAAACCCTTCTTGTGGATCGTACCGAACGACCATACATCCATACAGAATTGGTTTTCTGTCGACAACACGTGTGAGGAATTGTGATGATTTTCCCAATGCTCTAACTGGTTTTGAACCAGTTAACTACAGGGACATTCTTGATGGTACACTCAGTACGGCCTATTTGGTTGGTAAGTAACATAATTCCGGTGCTTTCATTTAATATACGAATGTATAGTCAGATGATATAACTCATATCTTTTGTCTCAGATGTCATAGGTCAGATTGTTGAGGTGACTCCTATTGAAGTTGTATCAGCTAATGGTAAAGAAACTCATAAACTTACGGTGGAGCTTCATAATGAAAAGTATGGTTCTCTTTATATTGTATGATTATTCATGATAGCATACGTGATGACAATGATCTAAGATATACATGTTTGTATATTATTTTAGGGATGAACGTCTGCCTCTGGTGTTGTGGGTACCTTTGCAACTGATATAAGTGATGGCATTGAAGAACGTGGTGAGAATTCAATCATTTGTGTAGTGGGGTTTGAGAAAATTAAAGTTTGGAAAGGTATTTAAGCTCATTCCTATTATTCATTTGTTTCAGTATTGAATCTTAGATTTTTAATCGTCTTCGCTGATCCCTTACCATTCCATTTTTCAACTGCAGACGAGCGTAGTGTGTCTAATGCGTATAACTTTTCAGAAGTTGAACTGAATCCACTTATGGCTGCAGTGGCTGCCTTTGCGTCATTGTAAGTTTACTCACTTTTTATAGTTCAGATTAATTTTTAATTAGCTTTCATTATCAATGTCTGAAACTTCTATAATTTTGTTGTTTTGACTTTTACAGATTGCCGAAGGATGAACTTGCATTGAATGCAGAGCAGGTAATCTGTATTTATTTTGACTCTTTGCTATTCAGAAATGTCTGGTTTCTATACTTATTGTTGATATTACTTTATAGGTGGTCTCACTTATGTTACAAACATGAAAGGTGTTTCTGAAATTCTGTTTGATACTGACATCCCAGAGATTCAGTTCTTCAAATCGCAGTAAGCACATTATACTTAGTTGGTTTTATAAAGCTGTGTAGTATATACACTAAAAACTTTGTTTTTCCTCATATATTGAAATTCATGTCTTTGCAGGATTCCAATCATCGATTTCTGAAGTTTTGAAGTTATTCTATCTAACTATTGATTGAAGTTGTTTTTATATAATACCTATTTATATTTAGACCATTATTTGTTTTTGGAAGAATGAGATTATGCATCTTTATTATAATGGAATTGAGTTTATTTTATTTATATTAGATTTTTCATCTTCCTTAACATAGAGACTTACCATAGTGAGGGCCTCTCCAAAAACAAATTTGTAATTAATTTTAGTCTTTGTGTTATCACCATAAAATCAAAATCGCAATTTAAGCAAAAAAGCATTATTTATAATATAGATATATAATTGGACGATATTAAAACTCGAAACAACCAATCCAAAACAAACTAATATGCAAATAAAACAGATATAATGTCTTTTTATCTTTAAAAATACAACAAATTTAATCATCTCATCTCGTGCAAGGCGCGAATCTAATCCTAGTTAACTATACAAAATATGCATATGACCAAATCATTTTTAAATTGCGTTTCTAATTGTTTATTGACAAACTAATCAAAATGAATATCCTTATCAACCAAAGTCATGATTTACCCCTCCGTCTCCATTAATACACACTCTAATTAATAGGCTAACTCAATCAATCACCCCAAAAACAAAACAAAGCAGTAATTTACCAATTTACCCCTCTTCTCCTCCAATAAAACACACACTGTTTTTTCTCTGGATCTCAGCATATCAAGAAACCTCTTTCTCAGATCAACAATGGGATCTCTGCCACCGTCACACCTCGACATCACCAAAGACAACCTCGACATCACCAAAGACATCACCATATCCTAAAATTTGGGATATAACAATACAAAAAACACACAGAATAATAAGGAAAAAGCCCAAAAAATTGAGGCCCAAAACGAAATGCTGACATGGACTTTGTGACATGCATCCTATATGGCATGTCTTAGAGGGAGGGAAGCTTCGTTTTATATAATAGATATATATATATATATATATATGTATGCGTATGTGTTGACTTATAAAATTGGATCAACCACCTTCTTTAAAATCAATCATACTTTTCATTCGTTTGCAAAATAAACTATACTAATCAACCTTTTTCTTGTTTAACCAATGGTTTCTATAAATATACTGAAATAAGGGGAAAATGGGAGAAATTTGAGGTCATTGAATTTATAGTATTCTTCATTTCTATCTTTAACAATTTCACATGCATTTTTAGGATAGTCTATTATTTATTTCTTAGACAAAACTAGTTATATAATAATGACTAAATTGAAATGCAGTTGGTTAAACAAAAAGAACAAATTAATCAAAATAGTAAGGAAACGTAAAAATATTGTTGGCTTCGCCATTCTCCTCCTAATAGCCCCCATCTTAAGAAACTTAGGAAACATAACAGACATCACCACATTAACTATACAGAATATGCATTTAACCAAATCATTTTTAAATTGTGTTTCTAATTGTTTATTAACAAACTAATCAAAATGAATATCCTTATCAATCAAAGTCCTGATTTATCCCTCCGTCTCCATTAATACACACTCTAATTAATAGGTTCACTCAATCAATCACCCTAAAAACAAAACAAAGCACTAATTTACCAATCTACCCCTATTCTCCTCCATTAAAACACACTCTTTTTTTTCTCTAGATCTCAGCAAATCAAGAAACCTCTCTCTCAGATCAACAATGGGATCTCTGCCACCGTCACACCTCGACATCACCAAAGACAACCTCGAAACCCTCTTCAAATCCCAACAAGACCTCCTCAACCACTTCTTCAAACACCTCTCCCTCTCCCAAACCCTCCCCTTCTCCCACCTCCTCCTCTCCATCTCCGGCACCGTCTTCTTCACCGGCGTCGGCAAATCCGCCTTCGTCGCTCAAAAAATCTCTCAAACCCTAATCTTCCTCAGCTTCCCCTCCTCCTTCTCTCCCCTCTCGACGCCCTCCACGGCGACATCACCTCCCTCTCCTCCTCCGACGTCCTCGTCCTCTTCAGCAAATCCGGCGCCACCGAGGAGCTTCTCCGCCTCGTCCCCTGCGCTAAAGCCAGAGGAGTCTTCCTCGTGTCTCTCACCTCCGTTCCCGGGAACCCCCTCGCCGGAGTTTGCGATATGAACGTGCATTTGCCGTTGCAGAGAGAGTTGTGTCCGTTTGATCTCGCTCCGGTGACTTCCACGGCGATTCAGATGGTGTTTGGGGATACGATCGCCGTGGCGTTGATGGCGGCCAGGAATCTGACCAAGGAGGAGTATGGAGCTAATCATCCTGCTGGGAGGATTGGGAAGAGTTTGATTTTTAAGGTTTGATCATAAAGTTGAGAACTTTATAAGTTTTTAGAGTTTGAATCTTAAGGTTTGATCATAAATTTGAGAACTTTATAAGTTTTTAGAGTTTGAATTTTAAGGTTTGATCATAAAGTTGAGAACTTTATAAGTTTTTAGAGTTTGAATTTTAAGGTTTGATCATAAAGTTCAGAACTTTATAAGGTTTTAAAGTTTGATTTTTAAGGTTTGATCATAAAGTTGAGAACTTTATAAGGTTTTAGAGTTTGATTTTTAAGGTTTGATCTTAAAGTTGAGAAACTTTATAAGGTTTTAGAGTTTGATTTTTAAGGTTTGGAGTCAAAGTTGAGAATAAGGTTTTAGTGTTTGATTNGGTTTGATCATAAAGTTCAGAACTTTATAAGGTTTTAAAGTTTGATTTTTAAGGTTTGATCATAAAGTTGAGAACTTTATAAGGTTTTAGAGTTTGATTTTTAAGGTTTGATCTTAAAGTTGAGAAACTTTATAAGGTTTTAGAGTTTGATTTTTAAGGTTTGGAGTCAAAGTTGAGAATAAGGTTTTAGTGTTTGATTTTTAAGGTTTGATCATAAAGTTGAGAACTTTATAAGGTTCTAGAGTTTGAATTTGAATATGTGTGATTTGGATCTTTGTTGTGTAGGTTAAGGATGTTATGAAGAAGAAAGAGGAGCTTCCGGTTTGTAAAGAAGGAGACTTGATTATGGATCAGTTGGTGGAGCTGACTAGCAAAGGGTGTGGGTGTTTGCTTGTGGTTGATGAAGGTTATTGTTTGATTGGTACGTTCACAGATGGTGATCTTCGTCGGACTCTTAAAGAAAGTGGGGAAGGTATCTTCAAACTTAGTGTTGGGGAAATGTGCAACAGATGAGGGAAATTTGGTGTGTGTGCTCTGTTTTAGATCGTATAAAGATTGGTGTGTGCTCTGTTTTTTTTATCGTATAAAGATTGATGTATGCTCTGTTTTTGATCGTATAAAGATTAATGTGTGCTATGATTTAGATCCTATGAACGTTAGTGTATGCTTTAGATCCTATAACATTGGTGTATACTCTGCTTTAGATCGTATAAACATTGGTGTATGCTCTGCTTAAGATTGTATGAATGCTCTGCTTTAGATTCTATAAACATTGGTGTATGCTCTGCTTTAGATCCTATAAACATTGATGTGTCCTCTGCTTTAGACGTATAGAGATTTGTGTATTCTCTGCTGCAGATTGTATAAAAGGTCTGCTTTGGATTCTATAAGGATTGGCGTATGCTCTGCTTTAGATTGTATAAATAATCTACTCTAGATCCTATAACATTGGTGTATGCTCTGCTTTAGATCCTATAGACATTGGTGTATGCTCCGCTTTAGATCGTATGAACCTATTGTTTTGGAAACAGGAAGCCGAGGACAATTGGACCGGAAACAATGGCAGTTGAAGCTATGAAGAAAATGGAGTCACCACCATCGCCTGTACAGTTTCTACCGGTGGTCAATGAAACAACACCTTGATTGGAATTGTTACATTGCATGGTTTGGTTTCAGCTGGTCTCTGAACACGATGATGAAGCTGCCTCTATGTCATTCAGAGTTTATTACACACATAAGTTGATTCTTTTATCTCAGGTTCAAAATATTGATTTGTATTGTTGATGATATTCACATCTAGTGAATTATATTGTGTCTAGTATTCCTCCATGTATATACTTTCTTTACCACTCGAAAAGATATGTATAGAGTCCCAGACTAATATCAGTGCCCTCTCTTACATGTATTTTATTTAACAAAGCTCTCGTTTCTACTCTTGATTTCATTGATGTCTTAACAAATTTAACATCTTTATTAGAGTGCCTGCAGATAGGACCGTGAATGTTCTCTACTGTGGTTGTAGATTGAACAGAGACGGCTTAAGAAACAAAGACAGGTCCACTTATACAGAGATAGAGTGTTTTGAAATCTCTATGCAGCTGACACCGTGCTGTTTTGGTTGTTGCTGCTGCTGCTCTTATCATTGTTCTCATGCTCACCAGACATTTCCTCAAGAGACTTGCCTCTAGACTCAGGTACCAACAACGTAAACACCATCCCCAAAAGATTAACAAATCCCAAAACAAGGAGAGAGTTCTTAACACCTATCCCTGGAGGGTATCCATGTTCTGTCTTGTTCTTGTCAGGACTCTGTGCTAAGTACAAGAACCCAAACGCACCAACCATTGCTCCCAGCTTTCCAGAAGCCGCTGAGATTCCATGGCAGGTTGATCTTAACCTAGCCGGGAAGATCTCAGCAGGCACCACGAACGTTGTCGCATTAGGTCCAAAGTTTGCAAAGAAGAATGTTAACGAGTACATAACCACAAACCCTATTCTGTTATCCTTATGAGTCCAATGGTCATAAGGAATGGCGAGAGCAAACATGAACACAGTCATGAAGAAGAAACCCATCATCTGTATCGCAAACCTACCAATGACGTCAATAAACGCCACAGTGAACCAGTAACCAGGTACCGTACTGCACAAGGCGATTAGGGTTTGCGCACGCCCGATTTTAAAAACTTCTTGAATTGCGTTCATGGTTTGAGCCGGAGGGATCCACCCAATAGCGCTGAAGATATCTTTCTGGAAAAGATTCTGACTATAGAATGCAATGTCAAGTAAGAACCATGTGCTCGTGGTTCCAAGCAAGTGAAGACCATGACGTTTCATGAATTCCTTGGAGAACAAGCCAAACTGTCTAGACTGATCTCTAGAGATCTCTTCTACTCGTTGATGCTCTGCTTCTATCTCCACTTGCAAAACCTTAGACATGTTAGAAGCCGCTAGCTTCGCGTCCTTAGCCACAAGAGCCGTGTACCGTGCCGTCTCAGGCATCTTAGACCTCGAGTAATACGTCATAGCGGCAGGCAAAGCACCAACCATTAGAATAATCCTCCACACGTAATCCGCCTGAGGTACCGTGGACGCCAAGGCATCGACTTGATAGGCCGGAGCAGGAAACTTAGCCTCGAAAATCGCAGCGATAATGATCGCAAAGATTCCTCCCGTCAAGATACCAAACCCTTGCATGGCGAAAACCGCGGCTATAAACGCGCCACGTGTCTTTTTATTAGCGTATTCTGACATGATCGTTGCGGATAAAGGATAGTCACCACCTATACCAAACCCTAGCCAGAACCGGAAGAAACATAACGTGGTCATCACGGATTTAGGTTTGTTGCCAAAGGAGAGACCTGAAACATGACCAGTACAATACAATTATAGTGGGCATAAAATTAATTCATAAATGTTAATATCATTTTAAATTAGCTATTTTATTTGAAATTTTATAGTAGCATATTATTTTATAATAATGATCTGTTTTAAATTTAATTATATATTAAAATAATATTTTAGAGTGGATTTGAGCGACGCACTAACCTGAAGCTATTGAGCAGATGACCATGACCATCAGAGTCATGCCGTAAACTTTTTTCCTCCCGAGTTTATCACCTAACCACCCGAAGAAGAGCTGGCCCGTGAGTGTACCAACAAACGCAACGCCGTTAACCGCGGCTGAGACGTTTGGAGGTAGGTTTCCTGGCTTTGCTGCGCCGTCCACGTGGTAGTAAATGCGGCCAAGAAGCTTAGTGACGAGGGAGATGCAGAAAAGGTCGTATGCGTCGGTGAAGAATCCCATTCCTGCGACGATAATCGCTGTGAAGTGGTACCATTGCGTTTTGGCAACGTCTAGTGCGTTTAGTACGTTGAGTTGATCTCCTGCCATTGCTCTCTCTTTTATGTTTTCCTCTGCGTTTATACAGTAAGAAAACACGTTCAGTATTGATAGACTTTGATAATGAATGTAAACTTTTTATTGATGAATAAACTTTACAAGTTACAAACTTACAACCCTCTATATAAGACAAGATTAGCCGACATAATCACATTAGACTTTAGGTTTATCTTAGCTAATGTTATCATTATCTCATTAGACTAACATTTATCTGTTGATCACAAAAAAAACTAACATTTATCTAAATAGGTAATCCTACATAGAAAAGGATTCTCTAACATTGCTTGATAGGGTTCATCTTTTAGTATTGAGTTCTATAACAAAGACTATAGCCATATAGAATGCATGGATTATAAAGGTTAACGTGTAGAACTGGAAACATTACGAGACACAACAGAGATTGAGAAGACAAATAGGAAAAAAAAAAGAAAACAATAACCAAAGGCCTACGTAATCCTCATTTATCATCTAAACAATAAATAAAAAAATAGATTCACAAAACACAAAACTAATGAAGAAGAAACTTACATGAAGAGTATTATTCTTCTGCGCTTAATTACTTTCTCGCAGACAAACACTTAAATGGTTGTCTCAGAGAAAGACAAGAGTCTTTTTTGTTGGTGTTTTCAAGAAACTGTAGAGACAGAGCGAGAGAGAAAGATGAATGATGGTTGTGAATAATGAAATAGAGGCAGCGTAGCACAAGGCTTACTTATACGTGATCACTTTCTGTTTTTGCTTTGACATATTCTTTTATTTTATGTGGTATATTCTTGTGACAACGACACCGTTTATTTCTCTCTTTGACTTCTTGTTTTTCGCATCTACTTTTCTATCATTCCACCGTTTTGTTTTTCAGTTAAAATAAAAAAGTTTGTTTTCGAATTTGTTTTTACTGTCTGGTTGAGTTTTTGGGACTCACGGTCAAAAACTCGTTTTAGGCTTTAGCATATTCCTAGGAGATAAAAAAAATATTCGGACACATGAGCTGTTATATTTTCGTTATGGTAGGGAACTGATCCCAAATTAATGCAGAATTTGTAAGAGAAGACCATCTTTTTTTTTTTTTTTTTTTGAAACTCCGAGAAGACCATCTTAATTGTCTCAGACATTATTATGGCTATGCATATATACTTTTTATTTTTGAAATTGATTCGATTTACTGTCTTGTTTGCATGTGAGAGATTCAATGACAGACCATATGCAATTTTCGAGTAAAAAGTGTTTTCAAGTGTTGTGTTTTTCATCCGACTGCATAAAACAATTTCTTGTTGACCCTAAAATCATTCATATTTACTGAATTCATTGAAAAATTGAAGACTATGAAATGTCCATGATCACTTATGAACTTCATGTTATTTGTTAAACAATTTTTTTAATTAATTTAACATCCTGGTTAAGCAAGTTTCCATATCAAATGCGAGAAGAATCATTGTGTACAAACATTAAAAAGAAAAACTATGTTGCCAAAAAAAATCAAAGGGTTAAAAACTGTGTATACCTCAATGTAGAAAAAATTAACTAGACCTTGATGTCACATTTTCATTTATAACCTATACTTCCTTTACTTTATTCTAAGTGATGTTTAAAATTAACGCACACAAATTAAGATAATGTAAAAAATTATACAATCTATACTATTATTTGCGAAGTGAATTTTTGCAACGGAGCTCTCACGTTAAAAGTTGAAGCGGTTAATATCGTTTATACCCTTAATGAATAAAATATATAAATCAACCAAAAATAAAAATGAATTTAATATATATTTGATTTAAATTAATAATAGTGATAAGAATTATCCATAATCTAAATATATATTTAAAAAAATTCCTATATATATTGTGTTATACAAAAAAAAAATTTTAATAAGAAACTCATAAACAGAAAACACGTAAATAAATATTCATAAAGTAAAATTTTTGCAACGGAGCTCTCATGTTAAAAGTTGGAGTGGTTAATATCGTTTATACCCTTAATGAATAAAATATATAAATCAAGCAAAAATAAAAAAATGAATTTAATATATATTTGATTTAAATTAATAGTGATAAGGATTATCCATAATCTAAATATATATTTAAAAAAAAAATTCCTATATATATTGTGTTATACAAAAAATATATTAATAAGAAACACATAAACAGAAAACACGTAAATAAATATTCATAAAGTAAAATTTTGAATTGTATATAATTGAAAAGAGAAAATTGAAAAATTTATAATACGTAATTATTTTAAATTAAAAGAACATAGTAATATAATATAGTGATATATATTTGTGAATTTATTTTTTGCCTCTAAACTCAAACGTTAAATTAAATTTATTTTTATATTTTATATAGTTAAACGTCAAATATGAATGAATCATAATAAAATAAAAGATCATTCAAAAATAAATTAATGTATTGTATATATATTGTATTATTATCCAAACTAATATTATTCTTTCTGTAAGATCAATTTTTGAATGTATATTTATTGATTCAATTTTTCAAATTGAAAGATAGATTTTTATATTTTTTATCAATTAAGAAAAAATGAAATAGATTTTAGATTTTTCAAAGTTTTAAAGGAAAAAATAGTTTTTTTAAAACAATTTGTGAATAACTTTATCATGTAAAAAATTTAATGTTTTAGGTCGAATTTTTTAGATGCAAATAATCATTTATTTTGATATTTTTTAAATTGACTTAAAGATAATTAAGTTTGCATGTGCGGGAAAAACACCTAGTTTATCTTTGATAACATAAGAATATCACTAAACAAAACTAACTCAACCAATAAAAATATAGTATTATTTAATTAGTCAGAAATCTTAAACAACATTGAGTTTTTATTTGAAACGATTATAGTAACTTCAATTATTTTATAACTTAATTTTTCTTAAACATCAAAAAATATAGTTTTTATTTGAAAAGATTACCACGATTCTAGTTATTCAAAAAATACAATTAAAGTATTCTGTGTTAGTCTAAGGAGAGGACATGTATAAAAATATAGTCTCCTTTTTTTGCTTAACCATTAGTTCTCAATTTACTTGCAACTCATCTTTTCTGGTCTAAACTTGCAACTCATTTTTACACTAAATCTGCACTTAACTAGTAAAAAAATGCAAAAAAAAAACTCATTTCACTTTATTTTCCGTTTAAATATTAGTTTATGAATAGAATCAGAAGACAGTCATTTCTATTCATCCTTGCAATATACATCTCACCACTTGATAACATAATAAGTGATTAAGTTTAAAATCTATATATATCAAGGTCTAATCTTGTGGTAGATATTTAGTCATTCTTCTATAAGGCTAATCTATGATCAGAATTGTTACTAAATTCACCATGTGTTAAATTTCAAACGATTGATTAGTTACGAGTATTCAGTGATCACGATTATAGTTAATAAATTTTAAAATTATTTTTTCTCTATTCGTCAAGAAAATAATGTGCATTTAGCATCATTCTAACATTTTTATCACAAAACAAACTTTCAAAATCTGTTAAATTATGCGGAATCTAAAATTTCTCAGATCTTATAAGCCTCCTTAGTGACATAGGTTAAGTCGTTCAACAAATCTAAACCCGTTTTTAGTGTGATATCAGAAACTTTAGGTTTAATTTTTGAATCTGGTTGATGTAATGATGTCTTAGAGATGATGATAGTTTGTTGTGATACATGTTTCAGGTTCTTACTGAATATTTCTAGCCTGGTAGGTTTGATGAAGGAAGTTGAGATTGTTCATTAGAAAATAACATAAAACAAAGAACTTTGATCTAAATTGGCATGTTTGACAAAAACAAAAAAGATCTAAATTGGCATAATTCCACTTTCCATTCACAGTGTAATTTTGTAAAGCAACATCAAACTTTTATACATCAGTACCTAAAATTCTATCTAGCACACGTTATTTATTAAATTTTATTCTATAGATTCTATACAGATTAGAAATGTTGTTTAATCAAAGCACATAAACCTGTATTTTGATTTAGTGAATTGTTCATACTTACAAATGACTATCCATTGATCTAATGTTCTTGTGTATTGTGAAAATCAGCTGAATTAGTATTACATTCAAAGCTTGATAGACATTCCATAATGTATCAGAATCCATGAAAAATGATCAAGATGACTTTAGCTATCTATCTATTGTTATAAAACTGTGTTTTTTAAGCTTTCCATGTCAGATTCCAGCTAGGTAAGTCGAAGTCTATCGTCGTGACACATGTCCACTCACACAATACAATACGCATCGTTTCATTTTTATATATTATTAGAAAACTGTGTTTTTTTAAGCCTTACATGTCAGATTCCAGCTAGATAAGTCGAAGTCTATCGTCATGACACATGTCCACTCACACAATACAATACGCATCGTTTCATTTAACTAAAGGAAAAATAATTTTGTGGATTTCTCATTAAAGAAAGGAACTAAAGCCCAAATCCTTAGAAGCCCATTCAGTCTTCTTCCCCGACCTAAAAAAATTCTTTTGCATTCTCTTAGAGTATTTCCAAGAAATAACCTCATTTTAAGGGTAGAGAATCTTCAAAATGAGGATTTGAGGGTGTGTTACTCCAAGAAAAAACCTCAATTTTATCTTGAAAATTTTATATATTTGTATTTTAGTCCCCAACTTTTATATAAACTAATGATAATCACTAAATTTTATATAGACTGATAATAGTACACTTTAAAAAAATAAACATAATATTGATAAATAAAATTTATATTAAAACAAAATACATAACATAATAATAGAAAACACACATTAATTCATAAAAAAAATTGCTCACTATTGTTATTTTCATAATGTTCTCATATATGATCAATCAACCCAAAATGTTCTATTTAAGTACTATTCTTTTATATTATCTTTTTTTATTTTAGTATATTTATATATTTTATGTATTAATTACATATGTAAGATATATTTGAATATTTCAGACAAATATATTTATAAAATAGAGTTATAAGAACTAAAGTGATAAGAAAATTAATACAAATACAATTATATGTAAGATATAAAAATATAAGGACTAAACTAAAAAGTGAATAGTGTTTTGACGGCATGAATAATGGACCCTCAAATTTGAGGTTTCACTATTCAAGCTCTCAAAATTTGAGGGTTTGAGGGTCTCTTAGAGAGACAAAAACCTCAAAATTTGAGGGTTTGAGAACCTCTTGGAGATGCTCTTATGCCGTCAATGGCGTCACATGAGATTGGATGACCGAAATCGAGATGAAGAATCTCTTTGTTTGTCTCCATTTGTGTCGTTTAGCCTTCTTATTTACTCAACCGAAAAGGTCCGAGTTAAGCCATTATCACCTTCTTAACTCTATATAGCGACGTGAAGCACGATCTGATATTGATCATGAATTATCCCTCTGCAAGGCGTTTTGTTCTACACCTATAAAAAAGGTTTAGCTTTTTTTACTTGAACATCATCCTCAGAAATTTTTTCTTCAAGTTCTTATAAGGTTTTCAATCTAAGAAAGTTCAGATTCTTTATTGGTTTCTTGCTATTCTACTTCAGTTAATTTATTTGTTTATGGTTTTGCAGGATCTTCCAACTCTTATGCTAGAAAATACAGTGTATGATTTTGCAGGATCTTCTAATTCTTATGCTAGATGATACAGTTTTCGATGTTCTCAAGATTCTTAGTTGGTAAGGAATCCAACAATCAACACGGTCTTTTTGATTTCTATAGGCTCTTCTTATATGTAGTTTCATGATGTCTTAAGGTAAATATTACTTTTTCTGTATATGCAAAATTCCATGTGATTCTCATACACTGCAAAGCCGGAAACCTAATATACTTCTTTTTTCTTTTCATCTCTTGGAAACCAGTAGTAGAATTTGGAGAAGAAGATTGTGACTGAGATCTTACCAGCAAAGAAATTCTACAAAGCTGAATAATACCATCAGCATTACCTCCCCAAAGGTGGGAAGAGTGGCCATGCAGTCCCCATCAAAGAGCTGCAAGAACCCTATCAGCTGCTTTGGCTGAGGAAAAGCTTTTGTTCCTTTTCCACCAAAACAGAGGATTGTGACTGAGATCTTACCAGCAAAGAAATTCTACAAAGCTGAATAATACCATCAGCATTACCTCTCAGAGAATATTTGTCTGTTTGCGTGTGTCTTGATTTGTAAGTCTCAGTTAGTATTACTAACTTAGTAATAAAGATGCATGTGTGATCATCTCAAGTGTGTGTGTTCCCAAAAAAAAGTGTTCCAAAAAAAATTATCATCTCAAATGTGTAACTGATGTATGTTGGAATAATTAATAAGTACCACCATTAGAGCATGTACAACTGTAGTTTTATAGAATCCTTAGGACATAGTCCTTAACTTTATCGAATATAAAATTAATATAAAACTAAGAGAAGGTAAGGATTAGTCCTTGGCTAAGGATTAAAACAAGGGAATCCTTGTTGACGTGGCAGGTACCAAACCTGCGTATATTCTCATTCTCCTTTTTCACCTCTCTTCCTCAAAACTAGTCTCAAACCCAATCCTCTGATTCTCCATCACTTGCGTGACCTCTTTGGTCCTAGTCCCAGATTTGATTCAACAGATATTGAAAAGAGGATGGTGGGAGCTGATGGTGGTGGTGGTGGTGCTAGGGTTTCGATTCCGGCGAAGACTCGGAAGACGATTCAGAACATAAAGGAGATCACAGCTGGGAACTACAGTGAGGAGGAGATTCACGCAATGCTCCTTGAATGCAATATGAATCCCGATGAGGCTACTCAAGGCCTTCTTCTTCAGGGTATTTATTTGATCTTTAATCTTTTTGTGTTCGATTAGTCTTTGTGAATTTGGGAGTTAAGGAGTAGTTTCATTTTTTGAAATTAGGGTTTAGTTTGATCGATTAAGAGAATTTTATGTTGTTTTCGATTGAAAGTTTGTGTCTTTAAACCAGACCCAGTTTCTAAATCCGGTTATCTGAGAGATTCATTGTGATTTCAATTACTCGTGGACTTCTTCTCTATTGATGTTAGGTTTTATCTTAAAGTGAGTTATGTAGTTATTATATGTCTGTACTTTGCAGGCCATTACTGCTGCAGTGTTATCTGTTATTAATTTGGGATACAGAAGAGAAGGGTTCGTCTGCTCCAACAGATATTCGCAGGTGGTTTTCTCAAACCTGTAGCCAATAGGGCATTTCTTTCATACAACTCTAGGTTCAAGGGAAGAAGGACACAAAGACTGTTGCAAAGAAAGTAAGTTCAATAATGTTTCAGTGATTTCGTTTATTGCTAAATGTAAAGAGGTTTGGTTTGGTAGGTGATCGTGGAACAACTGACATTGTCACCCATTGAACCATTTGCTTTTCATGATCTATTATGGAGTAGTCATTGAGAGTAAGTTCCTTTCCTATCACTCCAGTTGTAAAAATCAGATACGTCGTGGATGGTATCAAGAGTTGTGATATACACTTCTTCAATGTTGAATGACACAGGAACTCCTTGGAATCTTGTTAGAGACAGGATCAAGAAGACTTACCCTACAATTCAGCTTACAGCATGGACGGTAAGTGATTGAAAGTGTTGTGTCTATTATCAATGTAATGGAAGTGTTACATATATAAAGTTTACTGATTTGATACTGTGTGTTGTGAACTAAATTTAATCAGGGTTTTTTTTTCCCATTGTGGGATGGGTAAACTACAAGTATGTGCCATTGCACTTTCGAGTCATCTTGCACAGCCTCGTTGCATTCTTTTGGTAATACAATCACTCATGTTTGCTGCAGTCTCTTTCACAAACCAAAACTTAAAACTTAACTTTCTTCTTGTTTTGTCTTTTTCAAAGGAATCTTCCTGACCCTGCGAGCAAGGTCAATGACACTAGCTTTGGCAAAGTCTAAGTGATCAGGGAAACACATCAAGCATGAACTAGCTACTATCTTTGTTTTTTTTCTTCTTCTGTAAGTTAAATAAAATATTTTTTTCACAAGTTTTATAATTTATTATTTTTTAATTTCTAAGGATTCCTAATTGGATAACACCATTGAACAAACATTTTAGATTAAAGTCCTTAGCTATTTAAACCAAAAAAAATATTAAAATAAGGCTAAAGACTCCAATGGTGGTAACACCATTGGAGATGCTCTTAGAACCTAAACTTCTTATTTATTTATGTTTTTGTATTAGTATTCTCTAATTTCCTTGAACGGATGCATGGCCTCTAACCACTTTTGCCACTCATACACCAACATGTCCAATTTTTTTTTAAAAAAAATTACGATGCTTCTGAGGTGATTTTAGCAGGACACATCCATCCATTGACAGGCATGTGTTCTATCAGCTGTATGTAACACTATTTGAGATATGGTTTGGAAGAAGAAAAGGCTGCAAAAATATTAAAGAACACATGACATGTCTTTTTGGGTATATTTCAGATGAAAATATTATTGTCTTCAATGCGATTTGTTTTGAGAAAGTTGAATGTGATTTCTGTTAATGTTTTCTCTTTTCTTTTTTAACTTATAAAATTTAGTTTAGTTATACAGTGAAACCTTTATAAATTAATAATGTTGGAATTACACTAGAATTATATTTTTTATTAATTTATAAAAATTAGTAATTTATCGGTATATTAATTGAATCAAAAATTCAATTTAGGATTATAAAAATTAATTAATTTTTATAAAATTTTATTATATATTAATTTATAAAATATTAATTTAAAGATGTTATGTTGTATATTGTCAACCGAATTACTCGAAAGCCAAAACAAACATCCAATCTCCGATCACAAAACCCAGAGACATTTACTACACTTCAAGCGGCGAATACAACATGTAAAAAACTTCCAGATAATACCAAATAAAAATAAAATAAGCTAACCATATGAACCAAAAACAACAATTGATATATTATTAATATAAAAAAATATATATATCACATTCCGCGTGAAGTACGGACCAACCCTAGTATAATATATACTAGGTGACCCACCCGCACCCTGTGCGGGTATAAGAATATAGTATAATACTGAGACAGAAGTATCTATTGAATTCAAATATGGGACTTAGTGGAACAAGTGAGAGTTTCAATGCTGAGACAAGATTTGTGCAAATCTCTAGGATGCAGTAGAGGTGGGCAAATCGTTGCATTTTCGGTTTGGTTTGTTTAGTTCGGTTTTAATATTTTTTTTCAACTGAAATAAACCTTACTAGATTTTGACCCGTCCTTATAGAGGACGGGACAACTGTTTTTGCTTTAAATTATTGCCCTTGTTAGATTATTCACAAGTATGTAAAGGCATGAGTATCCGGGCTCGGATAGATGGTTAATAAGAATTATGGTTTAATCCGACATATATAGATTAAATTATTTCCTTAAATTCTGTAAACATAAGTATTTGTGATTTGTGAATTTTATAAATCTATGCCCGCTAGGATGTAATATGTCGCCGAAATGTTGCGGTCCAAGTTAAATGGTATAACTGAAGATCCTCGGTTTCCCAAGTTTATGTTTGTGCTTATTTTGTAAGATCATTGAGTAAAGACCGGTTGGTGTTGTTTACTAAAACTACAGTAACTTAATGTTGGCGGGTTTAGGGTTTTTTAGTGGTTTTTAATTAGTGAATATTTCTTCATACTCATAACGGATAATTTAGCGGATCACCGAAATTGCAAATCCAACCACGGGTGTGGTTGGATGTAAGAACTTATGGAAACCAAGGTGAACTCAAAATTTTATCAGATTCGAATATTGTTATTTGAACTAAATCAAAAACTAAAATAATCAAATCAAAAGGTATCCATATTCATAAATAACCAAATGGTTTTTATAGGCTTTGAACAAAACAAAAAAAAACGAAAACACAACTGAACCAGAATCAAACAAAAAAACATGAAATGAATCAAAAACTGAATTGCCTAAACATATTAGTGAGCAAACAAACAAATTAATAAATTTATCAAAAAAAAAAAAATCTCGCACTTTAAAAGCGCGGAACAAAATCTAGTTATGAATATAAAATATGAACCTGAAGACCGAACTGAACCCAAACAAAAAAAACGATCGGTATCCGGTCCAAAGGTAAGAAATATCAGAATGAATTTTGTAGAATAGTACAAAATATATCCGAATCTGAAGCGTTATTAGCTAAACCTGAACGTATAGCGTGAAAAAAATTGAAACCCAAAAAACGATTCGAAAATCCAAATTAATCACAACTATAAATATTTGAAACATAAATATGTGCTTCAAATATTCAGTTTTATATTTATTTGAAACAATATCATAAAAAACTAAATTTGAAATAAATACCTTAAATATCTAATTCAATATAGATAAGTATTTATTTCTTAGCTTTGCTTTTAATTTTGGATTTAACTTCAGATATATGAACCAAACCAATACAATCTAAATACGAACGATATATCGTTACTTATGGGTTTTAAGATGTGATACAAATTAGAACCAAAACAGATGAATTATATCCAAATCCGTCTGTATTTACAAATTTACCAATATGAGATCTATGAGGTGATATAAATTAGGACCATAATTCAAAGTATCCAACCCGTATCTCAACGGATACCTGAACTCCCAAGCCTAATTAAAGTGTGATTTATTTTTTGTTCAAAATATTTACATATTTGTTGGAATAACCCATTAAATTATACTCATAAGAATATTAAAAGAATATATATCTGTTTTTATCAAATTTTCATGATCTGATTTAATATATAATGATAATAATGTTTACACATAATAGTTTTTCCTGCAATTTAAAATGGGTTTTGTAAATTTTGATTTAATGTATTTTTTATTTTTTTACCTACTAAAATGCGTAACGTGAGAAATTATAAGTTGGACTAAACAATCTGATAACCAAAAGATATCATTTGGATCGATTTGTTGCATTTGAATTAGAAAATAAAAATAAATTAGGTTTTTTTTTGTTTTGATTTGGTTATCGGATTGTTTAGTCCAAAATGATCCAGAATATTTGACCAACGTAAGGTCAATCAAAACTTGGAGGATTTAAATGCGTCGATGATATTTGAGGAATAAAAATGTTGCCTTGCTGTTGCATTAAAAATAAAATTAGAAAAATACAAAATTTAATAAAATTATAGCTTAAAAATATTTTAGTCGCAGAATCTTGTAAATATTATTGAAATAAAAAGACATTTAAAAACAACCTTGTATTTTAATAGTATTGATTATTTAATCCATACTTTGAAACGCGGGATTGTCTTTTGTTAATAAAACTATTAATTTATTTATTAGTTTATAATAGAAACGACAATAGACTGTTTTTAAAGAATATGATGTTGTAAATATATGAAAAACCTAAAGATACTAAAAAGTATTGTTTTTAATAATAATTAGATTTTCACCCGCGCTTCCGAAGCGCGGGATATGTTTTGGCTAATTTTTCCAATTTAAGAATTACTATAATTTTTTTTTGAATTTTAATATTTGAATTTTTACGTCTATAATTAAAAATAATTTTATTCTCATCTCATAGTGCTAGATACTCAGATTTTATTTCAAGTCTTTTCGGGTTATTCACTTTTGGGGTTTTGGGGTTGGGTGTTTAGAACCCGTTACATTTTTCATATCGGTTCAGTTCGAGGTAATATCGAATAGGGTTCACATTTATATTTTTTCAAATTATTTGGGTTGGGGTGTTTAGGACCGTGTGAGAACCAAATGTTTTCTAGATTGGTTCAGTTCGAGTAATGTAGGATTCGGTTTGCATTTATAATTTTTTAAACCCGAAAAGAAACCGAATTAGAAATAGTGTGAGTTGAGTCATGTTTAAAGTTTCAAAAAACTTCGAAAACCCAAAATAATCCCAAAAATCCAATAGGGTAGTTTGGGTAATTAAGAGTTTTGCATATTTTAATTTATAAATTATACTATATATTATGATAATTAATATTTTTATTCTATTTTGAATATTTTAATATGTTAATAAACTTTCAAATATTTCTCTTACTCGTCGCTATATAGATGGTTAATAGTTAAACACTAAAAAATAAATATCTAAAGTTTTTTAACTATTATTAGAAAATCCAATAGTCCGGATAAAAAAAACTGAACTCCGGAAAATTAAAACATAGTTTATAATATTTTAATTATTATAAGAATTTTTTTTATAAAACTGTTAGTGATTAATTAGTTTTCTTTTCTTTTTTGTTTTTACATATTATTTCATAGTTTTTCTATATACGAAAAAATTATAAGTCTCTTTCCCACTTCTCATCTTAATATTATATGCTTCTAAATTTTCCACTAATATAAGATTTGAAGTTTAGGAATAAGAAAAAAATATCCATGATGATCTGAATGTTAATCTTATGTATGTCAACAATTTAGATTCCCTTTGTTTTTCTTAAAAATTATCGATGTTTATGTTAACAAAATATAAAATAAAATGAAAACTGAGCTTTAAAGACTACAGGATAATGAATTACGTGAATGGCTACTGGTAAGTGGCGATTACAAATCAACGTCCAACTTTTGTTTTCTATAACCCAGGCCCAAAACATGTTTAAGTATCAACGGACAAAATAGAAAGCTGTCTTTTTATTTTTCCAGAATAATCTTTAAAAAAAAAAAAACTGATTCTCTCTGGAAATAGGAAACGGAGAACGGATGCAACATGATCCATCATCAGTACCGATCAATGAAGGTATAACACGAATCCGACCGTTTCGTTGATTCTAGATCGTACGCACATAAAACCCATTTTTTTACGAACTAAAACTTTCTGTTTTTTACTTTTCAGATAATGTTTTTTTTTTATAAAGTACTTTTCAGATAATGTTGCATGTGTGATACATTGATTGATCTGTTCTTTTGTTTATGTCCGAAGAAGATCTGATAAAATAAAGTGTCT